TAGGTAATAAATTCATAACGCCATCATTGTCATGGAACTTGTAATGTCTTTTGTTTGGACCGTTTTGTCATTGATCCATTCTTAAAACATAAAACGAGTGAGTTCGTTTTTAAGCCGCATTAAGCAGTATTCCAGCAATATCATGACGGGGGACAGACACTAAACATGGGGTCCACACATTGTATCCATGTGGGGAAACGAACCCGGGCTTTTGACATTACAAACAAACGAAAGCTAAAACCACAAAGCTACCCCACCAAACAGAGAGTTCAACAGAGATTGAGTGAGGAAAAGAGGTTTAACTGCACTTTGAACAGTATTTCAATTATATCACGGCGTGTCACCTTGATGTTGGGATGGTAGCCCGATACGTCGCAGGTCGTTACCACGTTTGTGAAACCTTCGGCGTGGTATCAGTGAAATGGTTTTTATCAGGACGAAACGGGACTCGAACACATTTGGCTATCCGTCTCCAAACAGACTCGTGCCAAACGTGGCGCAAATAACGTTTGGTTTGAAACATCAAACATTCGTTGCATCAAAAGTGGGGTCATGATCCGGGCCACTTAGCAGCATTATCAAGGTCGTTCACTCTTCACTCTATCCGTGAAGATCCGGGTTAGAATTGAGCTTCAGCAACCAATGCAACGGGATCGGGTGGTCAGGCTCGTTGACGTGGTTAATGCATGTCATCGTATCCCAATTGCGTAGATCGATGGTCATGATGTCAATCACTGGAATGTCTGGTCCAGACTCAATTATGTACAGACCGCCGTTCTATACCTGGAATATTGCTGAGTGCAGACTTTTGGTAGAAGTGGAATTCACTTGCAATACATTCCTTCGTATAATGAAACCTCGTTAATTCGGACGGTACCGTTCCCAGTTAAAGCGTCCAGACTAATGTCCCACTGTATAGCTCTTCGCTCATCTGGTAACTCTCTTGTACGATGTAGATCCAGCAATAAATATTTACCGTAATTACAAAGAGACAATGCCCCAGTTTACTTGCTGTGATTACAACCTTTAAAGAAGATAGGCCAACAGTTCGGGGAGTTAAGCTCCTTGTAAGGCCTGCTTCCAGATTAAACATCCGGGAAACAAATCTGTTTGGATTTAACCACGTGACTATCTTCAGGACGAAAACCCCAAACACATACACGTCAGGTGTCAGATCTACAGGGATGTGATTTGCTTCCCGGATGAAGAAGAATATTAGAGTGTTCTTGTACGCCGCAGCATTCTTCCAGTTATATCGTATTTATCTAATAGGTGCCGGCCTCCAATAAGCGCCGGGTACGAAGCAAGGTACAACACAGTAAGCGCCTGGTATGTTACATTAAATTACTCCTCCCCTGAATAAATGAAAGCTTCGAATCGAAGGGTCCCGCATAAGCACTTCCGGTTGTTGAAAGAATTAGCGCCGGGGCGCTTACTAGAAAAAATACAGTATTTCTATAACAAAACGTTTTCGAGTCTAGGCCATTTACAAACAAGTGGTTGATAGCACGGGCAATGGTTGACAACATGGCGGTACCAGGGCATACATTGTGACCTGTGTGAGACTTGGGTGATGGGGATTTCTGCTGACCGGTATCCCCAACTGATTATACTTCATGTAGCATATCTGTTGGTTAAATGTTGTAAATAATACTGTAGCTTCATCACTTTTGCACCTCAACTGACTAAAGTGACATTTACTTCACGTTTCTTGCTTCTTACTTCTGTTTTTTACATAACATCTTGGAACAACGTATTTTTTGTGACTGACGATTTCTTTATTTTGAACATTCTGAAGCATACATATTTATTTAAAGCGTTTTTGACAATTTCTTTCTCTCGATAAAATCCCAGTCGGGGTACGAATACACTGAAGTGTCACCGACCCCGCCACGGATCCATTAGGTCACATCTTACCTCTGGCACAGGTTGGTGGGGACCAAATCTAACCTTGAATCCCGACAGGCCCAACTTGTACAATAAATCACATACTAAAACATCTTTATCAACAAAATGATACTCCTGAAATATGTGATGTTTAACGTCACTTCTGTGAGATCATAACACGACAAAGGCCTCCATTGTTATCCTGTGTCAAGGCAGAGGAATCGGCTGAACGATGTGAACGTGGGGAGGATTCCACACAACGTGTATCCTGTCAGGCTTGAAGCAAACTGCCATGTAAGTGTGATAACGACCAGCTCTATGTTGCGATCTAGGTAATAATTTATGTAACTATCTAAATAAAATGTTCCAAAGCATAAAGAGGCGATTCAGCGCACGGCGTGAACCTGTCGACATGCTAACTGAAAGACCGCACTCATCCCATGCGTTATGTTAAAGACTTCTGAGGAACTTAATGGATTCCTAATGCAGCTGGAACGGCGCAGGCGCCTGGTGTCGAAACCGCCATCGATGTCTGCCACTCTGCGCTTTTATGTATAACAGTGTATCCCTGTCCCTATACCATGGTTGGACCGATGATACAGCCCTTATTAAACACTAATGGAAGCCGCAATACAGAGCTGTTAGCGTGACGTAGAAAGTGTGTACATCGGTGTGAGGTACCAAGCATGTGGTGAGTGAGTAACTTGGTCTAGCGCCGCTTTAAAGAGTATATCATGTGTGTGTCAGATTGATGTGGGGGGAATGCCCAACGCGACAAGCGTTGTTGCGTCAATATCTACGGCAATGTTTTTCCCCTGACGACATTGGTGGCGTTGATGTTGATACCGACGTTTCAACACCGATGACGAAGACCTTGATGCCGGCGTTTAAACACCGATGACGTCGATGCCGAAGTTTATAAACGATTACCTTGATGTAAACATGGATGACGTTGAAGCAGAAGTTTATAAACGATGACCTTGATGCCAAATTTGAAATACCGATGACGTTGATGTCGAAGTTTAACATAAACGATCTGGATGTCGACATTTAAACACCAATGACGCTCATTGAGTTTTGTTAACGACGACCTTAATACCGATGTCAATCAGGCAGAAGTTTAAACACCGATTACTTATACCGTCGTTAAAACCCAAGTCGAGGTTGATTTATACACCGATGTCAATGAAACAGAAGTTTAAACACCGATTACTTATACCGTCGTTAAATCCAAAGTCGAGGTTGATTTATACACCGATGTCAACCAGGCAGAAGTTTAAACACCGATTACTTATAACGTCGTTAAAACCCAAGTCGAGGTTGATTTATACACCTATGCCAAAGTTTAAACACGTATCACGAAGATATCACCGCTAACTTACAAAAGACGTTGATGCAGACGTTGATACCGATGTTAAATAATTACATGAACACCGAGGGGATTCCGGATTAGACTTTGTCTCTTGTAATCTATGTTTGAGGTAAGAGTTGTGAAAATGGATCGGGTTGTAAGGGTAGGTGACCTAGCTGTTATTGTTCTAAAATGGTGTTGATCGATGCTCATGCTTTCAGTCACTGGTTCTCTTGGTCCAGAATCGCATTTGTACAGGCCGTGTGATTTAAATACTTACTCCACGGTCTCCATGTCCATTTCTCTTTCAGTATGCATATCTCGCTTTTACTCAACCGTTACGCTAAGCCTGTGCTCGAATCCAAGCTTGCATCCAAATAACAGTGCTCCTGTGTCCGAGACAAAGGGAGTTAACAGGTGTGTTCCCGAGTTCGAGACAAAGGGAGTTAACGGGTGTGTTCCTGAGTTCGAGACAAAGGGAGCTAACACCTGTGCTCCTGTGTTCGAGACAAAGGGCGTTAACACCTGTGCTCCTGTGTTCGAGACAAAGGGAGTTAATAGGTGTGTTCCCGAGTTCGAGACAAAGGGAGCCAACACCTGTACTCCTGTGTTCGAGACAAAGGGAGTTAACAGGTGTGTTCCTGAGATCCGGGGTAGAATAGGTCTTCAGCAACCCATGCTGGTCGTAAAAGGCGACTAACGGGATCGGGTGGTCAGGCTCGCTGACTTGGTTGATGCATGTTATCGACCCAAAGTGCGTGGATCGATGCTCATTATATTAATCACTGGATTGTCTAGTCCAGGCTCGATTATTTACAGACTGTCGTCATATTGCTGAGTGCGGCGTTAAACAACAAACCAACCAACATGTGCTCCTGTGTTCGAGATAAAGGGGGTTAACAGGCGAATGCTATACATTCTGGCTGTACAAAGACTCATGCCAGCGTAACGATGTTATAAACAGCTGATCTGGTTCCTACCCGAGTTGAACACTGAAGATGCTCGCAATAAACTAAAGACTATTATGCCAGTCCTGTCACGTTAAAGTTCAACAACGTGATTTTATTTGCGACATGGTCAGGGAGCGCCGCCGTCTACAACGGAGTACAGTCGGTTACACTGAGTCAGCCGGAGACTAGAGGAACACTTTATACGTGCGTGGGTGAGTGAGTGGGTGTCTGAACGTGTCAACGTGTGAGTTGATATCTGTGCGACTGCGAAGGTTCGTGAGTGAGTGGGGGAGAAGCGAATGAGTGAGTGAAACGAGTGGGAGGGTGAGTGACAGAGGGATAGCGGGGTAATAAAAGACACCTTGTGATCGATAGTGAGAACAACGGTCACGTCATCGGCGTTGATGGCGTACTAAACTGTCAGGGCACTCTTTCGGTAAAATAATCCTGTAATTCACTATATACTCGTTTCTTAGACCTGACTGTTTAAAGTAACGAAACAGACCACCAGATATTTGACGATCATTTGAGACTCGCTGGGATTTTAATTTTTAATTTTGCATCAGGTTTTACGATCAAAACAAACATTTGTTGGCAGGAAATTTTGAAAAAATTCCTGTTGTAAAAAAAATAGGTAAGCGTTCGATGTTTTCGTTCAGGTCAGAAATGGTACGTTTTGAAGGAGACGCTTAAGACATCTCGAGCTAGATTTTTGTAGCATTGATGAAAGCGTGTGATACACAACACATGAGAGTACAATATCAAAAGCACACATTTTAAAGCGCAAGGTCCTTTCTAAATCACAAAATTACCTTTTCTTGTGTTTTTCCGCATCTTGAATCAGTTAGGTTAAAGGTAGCCTCTCTGTTATGGAAAGGTTAGGGTGAAAGTCACTTCTCCATCTGTGGCCAATCGGGGTGAAGGTCGCTTCTCCATCTCTGGCCAATCGGGGTGAAGGTCGCTTCTCCATCTCTGGCCAATCGGGGTAAAGGTCGCTTCTCAATCTCTGGCCAGTCGGGGTGAAGGTCGCTTCTCCATCTCTTGCCAATCGGGGTGAAGGTCGCTTCTCCATCTCTGGCCAGTCGGGGTGAAGGTCGCTTCTCCATCTCTTGCCAATCGAGGTGAAGGTCGGTTCTCCATCTTGAGTCAGAGTTGGTGAAGGTCGCTTCTCCATCCATTTTCACACCTGAAAAAGGAATAATGGATAACGTATGAAATACATGCATGGACCAGTCTCCTAGTTACCTTCATTTCACAGAATACGAACATTAGTTAGTGTTCCACCACAATCTTAACTGTTCCACCAGACCCATCAACATTTCACCCCTCCCAAAACTGTTCCACACAACCGAACTATATTCAACCCCACCCTAAATTGTCCCGCTCCACCCAACTATATTCCACCCGACCCTTAACTGTTCCATCCGACCCTTAACTGTTCCACTCCACCCTTAATTGTTCCACCCGACCCTTAACTGTTCCACCCGACCCTTAACTGTTCCACCCGACCCTTAACTGTTCCACCCCACCCTTAACTGTTCCACCCCACCCTAAACTGTTCCACTCCACCCTTAATTGTTCCACCCGACCCTTAACTGTTCCACCCGACCCTTAACTGTTCCACCCGACCCTTAACTGTTCCACCCGACCCTTAACTGTTCCACCCCACCCTTAACTGTTCCACCACTCCCTTAACTGTTCAACCCCACCCTTAACTGTTCCACCCCACCCTTAACTGTTCCACCCCACCCTTAACTGTTCCACCCCACCCTGAACTGTTCCACCCCACCCTAAACTATTCCACACAACCCTAAACTGTTCCACCCGACCCTTACCTGTCTTACCCCACCCTGAACTGTACCACCCTACCCTTAACTGTTCCACCCCACCCTTAACTGTTCCACCCCACCCTAAACTATTCCACACAACCCTAAACTGTTCCACCCGACCCTTAACTGTTCCACCCCACCCTTAACTGTTCCACTCCACCCTTAACTGTTCCACCCCACCCTTAACTGTTCCACTCCACCCTTAACTGTTCCACCCAACCCTAAACTATTCCACACAACCCTAAACTGTTCCACCCGACCCTAACTGTTCCACCCCACCCTTAACTGTTCCACTCCACCCTTAATTGTTCCATCCGACCCTTAACTGTTCCACCCCACCCTAAACTTTTCCACACAACCCTAAACTGTTCCACCCCACCCTTAACTGTTCCACACAACCCTAAACTGTTCCACTCCACCCTGAACTGTTCCACCCAACCCTAAACTGTTCCAACCGACCCTTAACTGTTCCACCCCACCCTTAACTGTTCCACACAACCCTAAACTGTTCCACTCCACCCTAAACTGTTCCACCCAACCCTAAACTGTTCCAACCGACCCTTAACTGTTCAACCCGACCCTTAACTGTTCAACCCCACCCTTAACTGTTCCACCCCACCCTTAAATGTTCCATCCCACCCTAAACTGTTCCACCCCTTCCTAAACTATTCCACCCCAACCTGAACTGTTCCATCCCACCCTAAACTGTTCCATCCCACCCTAAAACTGTTCCACCCCACCCTGAACTGTTCCACCCCTTCCTAAACTGTTCCACCCCACCCTAAACTGTTCCATCCCACCCTGAACTGTACCACCCACCCCTGAACTGTTCCACCCCACCCTAAACTGTTCCATCCAACCCTGAACTGTTCCACCCCACCCTAAACTGTTCCATCCCACCCTGAACTGTTCCATCCCACCCTAAACTGTTCCATCCCACCCTGAACTGTTTCATCCCACCCTGAACTGTTTCATCCCACCCTGAACTGTTTCATCCCACCCTGAACTGTTCCATCCCACCCTAAACTGTTCCACCCCCACCCTGAACTGTTCCATCCCACCCTAAACTGTTCCACTCAACCCAACAATATTCCACCCCACCCTAAACTGTTCCCCTCCACCCAACAAATGCAACCGCTCCCTAAACTGTTCCACAATACCAAATGTATTCAACCCCATTCTAAACTTTTCCACCCCATCCAGCTTAGGCATTGACGCCACCTCATCACACTCGTTGCATTAAATAGAACCAGCCTGGCCATAAAACATCCCTCTAAAGATAATTATCGTTTTCCTATTCCCAACAATACCCTTAACTCCGCTGTACGTTCCCACCCCCAAATGACCAGTTCGTCAATACCGTATGTCTTTATACCCTAGTTGCTATCATTACTGATTATTTCAAACCCCAAATCTCTTATTTTTCCATCCAATCCTTCACCGTGAGAGCGACCGTAGATCAAAGATAGTGTTAATCCCAAAATGGAGACTTGTGCATGATCGCCCAGATCAAGAGTGCGACTGGAGGGAAGTGAACCTCCCTGATTAAAGAACAGGGGGCGCTGCTTGCCCTAGCCCCAAACTAGGACAGTCACCGACATGGTGACTTACTCACGTGTCTACCTGTCTGATTCCGGACTGTTTACACCTTCCACCAGAGGGCTACACCTAAACCGTTACCAGCCCTGATCAGGGATATATGTGCATATGTGGCATTAGCTTTCATGAAAAACAGCTGTGATACTTTGGTACTGGTAATTGAACTGCTCACTCAATCATGGCTGCGAAGGTTCATCATGGTCGGATATGTTCTTACTGTAACTTCAGTCCGGAAAAAGTGTTTTGAGCTTTGGATAAAATGGCGAATATGCTCATGAGACTTTCGCTGTGTTAAACACGGTTAAAGACAAATCATGCTACATTCAGACCTGCGTTCCAGGTGTAGTACTATGTGATATGCATTGCTTAACTCACACGGTCAGAAAAATAAGCAAACAAAAGTTCCCCTAAATAGAAGTCCCCTGAACGACAAGGTATGCCCTTACTTTCATAAGTTCAGTTCATGAGGTACCAGCTGAAGAATATTCAATCGCCGCCACCATCACCCTTATCACACAAGTGATCGCATAGCATCATCAACGTCGTTACCTTCCTCATCATCATCAAATAAGTGATAATTTACTTCATAATCATCATCATCGACGTCTCCGTCGTTATCATCATCATCGTCGTCGTCATGATATAAACAACTTACATCATTATCGTCAGTCATTGTCACCCTCGTCGTCGTCATTATCATCCTCGTCATCATATAAGTGATAACTTAGATCATCAACTTCATTGACAGCGTCTTCATCACCGTCGTCATCACACAAGAGATAACTTATATTATCATTACAGTCACTGTCATCATATAAGTGATAACTTTTGTCATCATCACCGACATCATCACTTCATCTGGAAGTAGTTGTAGCCAGATTAGTGACACAGTCGTCATCGTCTCCACCATCATCATCAATCGTATCTCCGTCGGCTTAAAAGATTGTAAGTAGTAGATGTATTTGGACATTATAGTATCCGTAATTTAGTAGCCATGTAGCGACTTTGTTATAGTAGCGGTGAGTAGTTGTAGTGGTACTAGTACTGGTACCAGTAGTACTACTAGTACTAGTAGTAGTTGCAGAAGCAGCAGTAATCCGCTGCACTCAGCAATAATCCAGCTGTATGACGGCGGTCTGTAAACAATCGCGTCTGGACCAGATAATCCAGTGATTGATATCAGCAGCGAGCCACGCAATTGGGATATGACGACATGCATCAACCAAGTCAGCGAGCCTGACCACCCGATCACGTTAGTCGCCTCTTACGACGAGCATGGCTTTCTGAACACCAAGTCTAACCCGATCTTCAAGGGTCAGCATCAATAGCAGCAGCAGCAGCAGCAGTAGTAGTAGTAGTAGTAGTAGTAGTAGTAGTAGTAGTAGTAGTAGTAGAAGCATTATTCTGATATATTATCATTATTTTTATTATCGGTAGTAGTAGCGGTAGTAGTTTAGTATGATCATCATACATTCATGACACCGAAATCAGTCCATAGTACTTTTATTCGTACTAGGCCTATATCCTTGTATCGTCCCCGAAGTGGTGACCGCGATACATTGCTTCACTCACGGAGTCGCCGCTGTCGTCATTCATGCCCACTTAGATTGCGAGTGTAGACACAAATAGACGCTCCGATCCATGCCAGAGAGCGCATCCTATATTTAGATCTAATTCAATGCTAATATATTGTCCCCGTCAAATCACTTCCGTTTAAGACACCTTAACAAAAGCCTTCACCTTAGCTGATGCGTTGGCAAAATCGAAATTCGCACCAAATATAGACCTGATGTCAGAATAAGTGTTTTTCTCTAATCTAGAGAGCTCTACACCAAAGGGAGACCACCCACGTAGCAGTCAGCTGATGGGGAAAGTCGAAACATCTAAAAATCAATATCTCCGATCAATGACATCGAACTGTGCGTGCTAGTGTAGGTATCGTCACGCATCATCCCCCGATAAGCCCACGCATGCCGCTTTGCCATGAACGGCGAAATGTCATCGTGTTATTGTACAAACATCTTTAAATCGATAGTTCCTGACTCCAAGTTATTTTTTTAAATCCTGCTGCAGCTGCTAAAATGTAGTTAGGATTGATAAGACAGAAAAATCGCTTCCTAAAGTCGACGTAGCAGGGCCATGGTGGAAAGTTCCCATGCATGATAGTCCAAATGACATGCAGTTGTTAAATCACCTGCATTTTGCCATGTATGTTGCGTCGCGTGAGATTGAAACAGGATGACGTCACAAGACAACAACCCATGCTCGTAGCTGCACATGAAGATACGTACCATACATGCTAGCCGTGCATGTTGCGTGCAGATGACCCGCTAATTTGCATATGACCTCTGCAAACCTGCTTTCGATGCACTGAGCATTGGGAGTGTGACGCTGTATACAGATTGTGTTTGGGAGTAGAGCGGTGTGTGTTATTCAAACCACGCCGCTCTATATTCAGGATATTTCATATAGGTGGATATACTTTACCGTAAGACTGCAATCAAGGAAGATGGCGGGTAGGTAGCCAATTGTCCTGGTTTTTTTCGTATTACATCATAGCTGTGCCGCTGCTGAGCCGTACGGTTACATAACCGACAACAAAACACGAAGGCAGGTTGCCTCGCCAGTCAGAGACAGGGCGTCTTGACCCAGAGAGGTAGTCTGTATTTCCCAGCCCTAGGGATCGATACGCCAGGCCCGGGGGTGGCGGTAGGGGGTGGGGTGGGAGAGTGTACCGGTCACGCTGAACCTCACCCTA